AAGGCAAACTATATCTGCATGCTTTGTATTAGATTTAGTTGATAAAAAACATTAACTCTGAATTGAAGATAAGGATGATATCATGAATAAAATCGTACCACAAGTATTAAGTTACAAATTTAAGAYATAACACTTGTTTTGAAGTAGTCATAACATTTAGACTTAGCATTCTTTCTTTATAAAGAAAATATCATCCGCAAGTCACAATGAAGGGAAGAAGAATGCAATTAATGCCTTGTTTACGTTTATAGCAAATCAAAATATCTCACAATTTCGGTGTGTAAATACACACGCTAAAAGTTTCTGGAATTATTGCCTAAATTGTGGGGTTTTCTTAGCATTTAGGATGGCGTGAGAGAGGCAAATTAATGTATAGAACTGAAATTAAAACTGAATTGTATTAAAGTCGTTATTTAGACAATGGATACAATAGAAATTTCTTACTTTGCCTAGGGCAATTGCTGTAGCAGCGAGGCCTATTAACCCTCCTTTCCTTGAATGGCAATTATGAGAAATTGCAAAGTCCTCAGCTAGAACCTGAGTGAGTCGTTTTATCTGCTTCACATCGTTGCTTGCYACAAACTCTTTCACCATGCTGTAAAGAGAAAGGGGGCACTTGATCGATCATGGCACAAAGAAAAACATGTATTGAAGTTTGTACCGGTACTTGGGAAAACTTTATATACAAATCGTACCCAAACAATTCCATGTATCTGGGAGGCTATTACTCTAGTTAAAATTTACAAATCAAGCAGTTCAAATGAGAAAGTCAACGGTCAAATATGAATCCATTATTTCGAAACACGACAGTCAAGAGAAGGAGCTCTTCAAACKTACCGTTCAACTTCGAGAGCTGCCGTTTTCCTCTTCTCGTAGAGCTTGTCGTTCAAGCCACGTACGACATTTGGAGTAAGGGGAAGAAGATCCTTCTCCGTCATGATGATTTGCGATCGCTATTGGAAGCACATTTTTATGAGGTTTTTTACAACAAGATTTTCATTCCTGCTGAGTTTTCCATGTCACATTCTCTCCTGCAGAGTTGATCCGCCAGCCACTCACAGCTTCCGCTCTACCCAGATCACCGCGGTCAACACACAGGAAGCCCAAATTTAACGACAAATTTATGAAAAGTGGGTGGGAAATTTCAAAAATCAACTTCAATTCTCCAGAAAATTTACTTAGAAACATCTCCACAACTTAATTRTATTTATAGATAAGTTAAATCGATGTCCTGATTTCAGGTGTTTCTTGTCTAAAAGCTGGTCATTGTTGCCAGCAKGGGATTTTGCTGCACACTGAGAAAATCTTTCAAATATACCGCATCCTCAACAAAAATCACGCTGTTCTGAGTTTTCACATTATGTCTAGGCCATATGCTCACAAAACTCATGATAATTTGTGTTTTCTTAATCCAATGTTTGGATCGCCGAGAGAGATTACAGTCAGCATAAATGCCTTAATCCAATGTTTGGATCGCCAAGAGAGATTACAGTCAGCATAAATGCTGAATGTTCTATAAAATGCACCCACACAAAGTAGTTGTAACTTTCAAAACATCTCAATCTATTTTGGATAATGGAAAATTTGTAGTTGGAAATTTTTTTGTTAATATTTGATGACAGAAGTATATTATTATTATTCATGTGGTGGTCAACTTTAATTATTATGCTTAGCTTATGAACCAAAGTTTGATTTCCATTTGTTGATAAATGAATTTAACCATTTAATAATGAATCAAATCTTTTTTATATTAATTGTATAACTGTTTTGCTTTAATCTATCTTTCAAATGCTCTTCAGGTGTAATTTCCATTTATTTAATCATTCATTCATCCAATTTCCATTCATTTGTATCATAATTTACATTCTCCCATATTTAAATCATTGAACTCACTTGAGATCAATTATTTTTAATTACTTTGTATAAAAGATTTGTTTATGGTAAAACATGTCCTGATAATCTCATAGAAAGGTAACTATATTTCTATAAATGCAATGAGTTTTGGCTTTCCATGATTTTATAGTAAGACAAGGCATTGAAGATCACAAAAAAATCTAAAAAAGTTTCATGTAATTTCATTTTTATTAAAAGAAATGAAAATTATTATTGATACAGGAAAGACCAGGAAATGAAGAGAAAAAGAAAAATGAAGAAAGTAAAAAAAAAGAATTTTTTGTTTGATTTCACGAAATTTATACTGATGTTTTTATGCATACTTAATCACTAAAATATATTATAAATGTATTCTTTGTAACCAAAATTATTCAGTTTTGGTGAGGAAATTCTTAAGCATCTTTAGGAAACAAAATGACAGGAGATTGAACAGCTCATAATGCTCCTTTTAATGTTTATCCTGGGCAAAGTCCAACTTCTCTGGGCCTATCTAAAGCGCAGTATACATTTTACATGCAATTTCTGCACAGTTGGATAGGACCACCCTTTGGTTGATCTATGAGCAGGTGCAGGTATGTATTGTTTGTGAAAATCAAAGAATGTTTTGCTTCAACTTTTGGTAATATTTCGGTAACAATAGCTGCTATTAAAGTTCCACGTGCATCAGAGAACCTTTATAACTGTTTGTTTTGTGTTGCAAATGATTTCACGTTTGAAAGTTGCTTTCTGATTGGTTTAAAATCGAAGATGGTGAATTTTTGTATGTGAGAAAAACTCTCTGAATGGTTCTCCAATGCACGTAGGCCTTTGGTAAGATATTCAGGAAGGGACAGGATTAGAAAATGATAATTGCTTCAAGTTTGTCATTTTTTGTGGGGATTTTTTCATACCCAAGTGGTTTTAATGTATCATAGAGTTGACAACATTGGCTTGAGCATTGTTTTATCCATTTCAGACCTCTCGGGAATATAATTCTTTGTTTTACAACAATGCTTGGAATGAGAAGAAAATTGCCAAAGCATATTTTCACATGATTAGGTTTATTGTGGCTGCCTCTCGCAGCTGTTATGAGGCTCATAATGGTTGCACGAGGAGACTATGTTTATATTGCAATGACGATGAATGCAAACAAAATATGCAAAAATATTTATTATAAGAATACTAATAATCTTACATAAAGTATAAAAGGTTTTTCCACGCATAATTATAAGAAAAATAGTTTTAAAGTGTAACACTATATAGGGTTCGGTATAAATCTTTAATAAACTGATTAAACTCTAATGATATCCAGATAATCTCTAATAATATCCAGGTAGATATCTTATATATGTAAAAATTACACTAATTGATGTCTGGGAAACTTAACAATCTTAGTAATGCTTAATTAAATGGACAATAGACTTTCGTATTATTTAAAATATTTACTATTGTTTCCCGGATTTCTTGCTCTCTTTGAAGATCCCTAATTTAATCACCTAAGTAGGTTTTAACATCTTCATAGCCACTTGCCTTTGCTAAGTGGATCATAATCCCCGTAGCTCGCCTTCCCCTTTTCTTCATGCAGAAACTGCAGTTGCAAATTCCTCGACATGGCGGACAGGACCAATTTGGGTTCATTATAGCCTCTTTAGCGTCTTCCCCATAGCGGTTTCTCAAGCATGGTCCACAAAACTGACCTCTGATCCCTACACACGAGTTACTTTTACACGTTGTTTTCAAATCATCGGTCTTTTGTCTGCACTGATGGCAGCTTGTTCCATTGACCGCATCGTAGTTCTTGTCCGCAACTCTTTCGGCTACCAATACTAGATCTTCTTCCCTTACATCAACTGGGGCTCTTGGAACTGCTTTTCTTGTGAAACCCTTTCTTTTCTTCCGAGAGGGCGAGTCTGAATCCGAGTCAGTGTCGTTGGATGATCTATCGCTGAACTGTCTGTTGAACAGCTTTGCTGTCAAAGGGCCTGGCCACTTCACAATCAAAGTGTTCTCCGTGTAAACGACCTCTTCAGCATCTTCTTCTTCGCTGTCGTAGCTTTGATATGAGCGTTTTTGACGGTTAGGATTGCGGCGAAGTGGAACATGAATGGTTGCTCTCCGTTTCGATGATTCGCGTTTTTCTCTTCCACGCGACACAGGCGAAGAAGAGATGCCATTGATATTTCGATCTAAATTTGCTCCCACCGGGAACAGCTCCCGAAGAAGACGCTTATTCTCCTCGATCTTCAGCCTTAGATCTCTTTCATAATCGGTTTCTTTTCTATTTGACGACATACTTCTTGCTAAAGCTCAAGCACAACTTTGCATACTCTGACTATCAAAACGACGCCCAACCTCGTCCCCAGGGCCAACTCGGCCGACTCCTTTTCAAGATGGCGGTCGTCGGGGAGATGACCCTGGCGTTGGCTGGAATCACGTGATCAAAGCCTCCAAGATTTTGGGAGGTTTTGATCACGTTGCTTATCTATTCAAAATGGCGCTCGAAACGTGAACTCAACGGTTTCACAAACTGGGATAGCTGTGGTGGGTCGGTATTTGCTTTGTTTTGATGCCATTTATTTGAAAAATGTCCTTCCGTCCTGCCGTCATCGGCAGTGTTGACCCCCAGACCGCCTACGGGAGTAGATCCAGTTCATTCTAGAATTCTTGAGGGATCCGCTCACTGCAGAAATCGGCGAGTAGAAGACTTCTATAACATCGAATGCTATCGCTAAATATATCCGTCAAGTTAAATTTCTTACACGAGTCGTTGGCATCTCAAAACCACGCATTGGACAAGAGAGACATAAGAGGACAACTGACAAGAATTCCAAAGAATATCGTTGCTTTTTAATCGACAAAAMGTACCTTAATTAAATTTCGGGAATATTTGAATAAAAACAATGAACGCATCGTAACGGTTAAATCAATAACCGATCAAAGACCTAACGGTTATCCGGACATACCGACAGTGTCGAACACATCCCGACCTATAGACGAACATAAACAGCCAATAATGAGTGATATAAGAAAAGGCATTTTGAATAGCCAATCAGAAAGCGGCTTAGTTCAGCGAACGCCAGGGTCATCTCCCCGACGACCGCCATCTTGAAAAGGAGTCGGCCGAGATGGCCCTGGGGACGAGGTTGCTCCCGACGACCGCCATCTTGAAAAGGAGTCGGCCGAGATGGCCCTGGGGACGAGGTTGAACGACGCCTGAATGACAGCTAAGGTTAGTGATGCTTTTAACGGTTACTACTTCATGGTGGACCTTACTCCATATATACTCCATAGCTAACCTGAGCATCTATAGCTATCGTTAGCTATCCATAGCTATCCCTGAGCATCAATGGCTATCGTTAGCTATCCATTACTATCCCTCACCATCCATAGCTATCCATAGC